AAGATATTCACGGTCATTATCACTGCGCAAAACTCTAATAGAAACACCGAACTGAGTTTGTATTTCATTAAAAAAAGATTGAAAGATATGAAATACTTCAGAACAATTTTTCATAACAAATAACCAAGTATATTTGGAATAATCATCAATAAAAGTAACAAAGTATTAAAAACCTAAAGTATACTTAACGCGACTAGGTCCCCAAATGTCAGAGTAAACCACGATAAAAGGGGACGAAACACCATGTGTGACACTACAAGGAAAGGAAGTACAACTATGTTTGCCTAATTGACACAACTCACATGCCAAACTAGACAACTTAGACAAGGTAGGGACAAGCCGCTATAACTTGGCAAGACTTGGATGACCTAACTGAACATGAAGAAGAGAGAGAGACTCCATAACTGCACCAACATGTGTAGAGAGATGAAGATGATAAAGACCACGAGACTCATATCATGTGTCAATCACCTGTTTCGAACTCCGATCCTGTAAACACACAAAATTGTTGGTAAAAGAAACAACACAATCAAGAGAACGAGTTAGACAACTGGTGGATAACAGGCTTAAAAGAGACCCAGGGACAAAAGGAACATTATCAATAGTTAAAGAAGGAAAAATTTTAATAGTTCCAACACCATGAGATGATACTCTAGAGCCATCAACCAGTGTAATAAAAGGTAAATGATTAGGAGATCATAAAGAGGAGAACAAAGATTTGTTACCAATAATATGATCAGTGGCTCCTGAATAAAAAACCCAAGGACCAGAAGAAGAAGATTGGGTCAGACCAGCAAAAGATGTACCTGTGTGTGTGACAGACACAATGGAACTAGAAGACTGTTGATCCTTATACCATTTGAGAAATTTGTTGAACATAGCAGGTGTGTCGGATGAAATAGAAGAAGGAGGATCCCTAGCAGATAAAGGTGGGGAAAGATCAGTCTAAACAACTGCAGCAGATCGAGGAGGACGATCATGTAATGCATAACACTTGTCAATCTTGTGACCTAGCTTGCCACAATGTTTACACTCATGTAATGCATAACACTGGTCAATCTTGTGACCTAACTTTCCACAATGTTCACACTTAGGACGCCCTTTTTCCTGTTTACGAGGGCGAGTTCGGTCATCACGGTGAGATACCAATGCAGAAGAATCATTAACAGAAACAGATATGTCAAGGTTGGGTTTTGCTGGTACACGCAAAAGAGTGGAGCATGTCAAAGTCAAGGTGGGGACAACCATAGAACCCAAAATCTGATCACGGATATGTGAATATTGATCAACAAGTCTGTGTAATGTCCCTAACATGAAGAACTTTGATCGTTGTACTATCTCGGTGGCAGGGTCGAGGGAAGGAGGCAATAACTCATTGAACACATGAAAAGAGCATGAATTTTGCCCATATAATCAGTCATAGAATCTTGATGTTTAGAGGAAATAACATCTACAATTTTAGAACAGACACCATAGAGACGTTGAGTATCATTGGTGTATAATAACTTGACATGTTCCCAGATTTTGGCACATGTTTCATAGGAATGAAAAATTTGTTTTAACAAAGGATCAAGAGTACCCTTGAGAACCACAGATAATTGAGCATCGATGGTGTCCTAATGGTCTTCTTCATCAGGAGTGAGAGTAGGTGCTTTCAGGGCAAGGTGATTAAGATACTTCTGACTCTTAAGCCATAATCTGACGTCTGATGACCATGTGACATAATTAGGGTCAGTTAACTTGTTAATGGATAAGTGCATATTAACATAGTTAGTGTAGATGGAAGGATCAGATGCAATACTGACAAAATTGGAAGTACTAGAAGGAGCGAAAGAAGTCATAAAGGGCGGAGACGACAATGGTGGCGGTGACACGGCTTGAACCAATACATCAGGTAAGTTCCCAGGAAAGAGAGGTGAGTCACTAATGGACACGCTTAAATACCAAGTCTTTCCTTGTTAGAACTTTCCTAGACATGCACTTTCACACTACCAAATAATATCTAGTAACAAAAATAACTCTTTTCTGATGTGGAAGATCAGTTTAATCGGCAGCGACGGTGGTGGTAGCTTCTACAGTGGACAAAGGCAAACAAATTTCAAAATAACCTTAAGCTTTAAATACCATGTTAAGGTTCCAACATAAAACCAATTGGTAATATGTGGAGTAGCCTAACATGTATTTAAACCATACCAAATAACATGAGACAGGTGATGTGCGATTTCCAATAAATATATTTAACGATTAGTAAATTGAGATTAAAATAATAAATATATAAAAAATTATAAAATTCAAATAATAAATATATAAAAAAATATAAAATTTAACTAATAAATATATAAAATTTTAGAGTGTCATATATCCACATAATATTCTTTCTACTCATATGTAGTTAAAAAGTTTAATAAATAGGATGATTAGGGTTGTAACTACTCTCCTACAAGGATAAAGGTGTATCTATCTTAAAATATTATGCGTTAAAATAAATTATATTATTATCTAATTATATTCTGTATAGAGATAATAAAAAATAATTAAACTCGTTTCATCGAGTCGCTTAAAATATGACAGAATAGGTTGGTAATTTTTGTTTGTCAACTTGTTTTGTTCTACGTCGTTGATCACTTTAAAAAAATTATATATTAAAATTAATATAAAAAAAGTTATAATTAAAATATTATATTTTTTGTGCTAGGTTATATAAATATATTATAATATTAATCAATTATAAAAATTAATCAATTAAATTTAAATAATTAATTATAATTAATTATTTTAACACATAAATATATCACTATTTCTAGTTTATCTAATAAAATATTAATTAATAAATACAAATTTAATTTTTTTATATGATTAAAGATATATTTTTTAGAATATATCTAAAAAAGTTATTGATGGATTATCCGTTAACTAATTATTTCAACATTTTGTAAAGCGAGTTGAGATTTACCATCCGTCTTAATTATGATTCAACCAATTCTATTTTTAATGAGCTCAAAATAGGATAAATAAAAATACGACAAATTTATCCGTTTTATCATTTATAATTTTCCAGTATCATAAGTCATATTTAAACTAATTAATATTGTAATCTTAAATTTTTTAAGTTGATTATTATATTTTTATAATTTTATCTTTTAAAATATATTTCGTAGATTAAAAGAAAAATATAAATATTCTTATATTCTACCTTAAGTTATATGTGACTTTTTTTTAGTGTTCCAATCATTTCTATTATATTTAATTAATTATGTATATGATTTTTTTTCGTTCCAATTATTTCTATTGAATTTAAAATTGAATTTGAAAAACAAAATATATTTTTTTAATTGTTACTGTCAGAGTAATTATAGTTTTCGTCGTATAAAACTTATTTGCATTTATCACTATTTATATTACCTTTTAATACACAAGTGTAACACGTGCGTACGTGTGTCACGAAATTTTGGAAAAGTCCATCTTAAAAGAAAATTTGTCCATTTTTAAAGAAAACTATTATAAAGTTATTATCTAGGACACATTTAATATATTATAAAATTAATTCTATTAACAACAATTATCTTAAAATAAATTTATTTAAAAAAATATTGAATATTGTTAGAAACAACAAAAAATCACCTACTAATAATTAATTGCTAAAAGAAAATTCACCTCATAAAAAACCAAAGAAGATAAACATAGAAGATATTTAACAAATTAATATCTTTATAAATTATTTTAAAAAAATGTGTAAGAAAATTACCTAACAAATGATTAGATTGTAGATACTCTGAACCTTTTTTTTCTGGAATTTTTTTTTTCAAGTTATCACTTACTTTTATTTTAATTTTCCCTCCAAGATATGTTATATTATGATTTATATGGTGCAAGATAACTTGTTATGATGATAAATTAAAAAAAAAAGTGGAAAAGAGAAAAGTGATAAAGAAGATGAAAAAAAAAAGGACATATTAGCAAAATAAAAATAAAACAAGAACACTTTTATTCATTTTTGTGTTTTTTTTTTCTACCAAAACCATAATAACAACTACTACTTCAGCCAGTGATTGCTTTTGCTTCTTCACACTTTATTCATTCTCTCTCTTTCTCTCTCTTTGCCCCTTCAAAGATGCACTTCAATTTTATCTTTTGGCAAAGACCAGCATCCTTAATTCGTCAAAATTCTTTTACTACGTAATTGCCCCCCAAAAAAAACCCTTGCTTTTTCTTCTTCTTCTGCACCATTTTTTTTTTCAAGGAATTTCGATTTTTAAAGTTGTTCCACATCGCGTTTCATAGTCCTTCAACGCTTTTCAGCGGAAATTTCATCTGAAGTTTTTGTGGATCGGACCCAGATCCTGTTTCTGTCTGATCCAGCCATATTGTCAAGGTATACCCTTTTTTTCTCACTGTAGTTGAATGAACAAGTCAAAGTTTCTGTCTTGGTCCGTATGGTGTTATGTTATGTTACACAATTGTATAAATTAGTTGGTTGGTATCATTTGACAGCTGAATTTGCAATTTTTATTTATTTACTTTTCTTATTTTAAATTGGGTTGTTTGTTTGTACCGTGAGGGTTGGTATAACTTGAGGGTTGTTCCATTTATTTATTTGGGTAGGAGAGGAAGGGGTTATTTTGTTGGAATCCTGTTATTGTTTTAATATATTTGGGATTTGGGGTAATTTTGAGTTTGGGGTTTGTGTTTATATTTCAGATTTTTCATAAGAAGAAGCACCATGGATGTTGATAAGGAATTTTTTGCTGAATCCTCTGGCTGCCATCAATTAGTGTTTGTTGTTGATAAATTTAGCAAAGATGATACTATCTTATGATGGCTAAGATAGAAATGATGCTGAAGAGAGGTTATTGTTTCATTGGATGTTGTCTCTGTCTGAGATTCAGTTAGTTCACTTGCTTGGCTAGCTTGCTGATTGAGGTTGCTGCGTTGTATGTTTTGAAGAGTTTCAATAAGGAGCGTGTTCTGACAAAAATCTTTTGTTGAGCCAATTTTAAGTTATGATCAAGCAGATATTAAACAGGCTCCCTCGGAAGCCTTCGAAGTCGGGGGAGAGTCGCGAAGGAGGGGTGATATCGACACCCTCTTCAACCCCCTCCACAAGTGCAAGGAGCAGCGATGTAGCAGGCCACCGTTATGGAAATTCAACTGCTTCACCTCTTTCAGGCGTTGTTGATTCTAATTCGGTTCCTGGATCAAATCATGGTGACAAAATTGCCCAAGCTATGAACTCAAAACTGAATCTGAATGGGAGTTTTCCAGTTTCTGCTGCATATGAAGCCTTGCCAAGTTTTCGTGATGTTCCAAATTCAGAGAAGCAGAATTTGTTTATAAGAAAGCTGCAAATGTGCTGTATTTTATTTGACTTCACTGACCCTACGAAGAACCTCAAAGAAAAGGAAATTAAGCGTCAAACATTAGTAGAACTTGTGGATTATGTGTCATCTGCTAGTGGGAAGTTTACAGATGTTATGATGCAAGAAATTGTAAAAATGGTGTCTATAAATTTGTTCCGGACATTTATTTCTCCTCCCCGTGAGAACAAAGCTCTTGAAGCATTTGATGTAGATGAAGAAGAACCTTCCATGGACCCTGCATGGCCTTACTTGCAAATTGTGTATGAGCTGCTTCTTAGGTTTGTCACATCGCCCGAGACCGATGCGAAGATGGCAAAAAGGTATATTGATCACTCATTTGTTCTGAGACTGTTGGACCTTTTTGATTCAGAGGATCCCAGGGAACGGGATTACTTGAAGACAGTTCTTCATCGTATTTATGGGAAATTTATGGTGCACCGACCATTCATCAGAAAAGCAATCAACAATATATTCTACCGCTTCATTTTTGAAACTGAGAAACACAATGGGATTGCAGAACTCTTAGAAATATTGGGAAGTATAATCAATGGATTTGCTTTGCCACTGAAAGAAGAGCACAAGCTGTTTCTTGTGCGAGCTCTTATTCCTCTTCATAAACCAAAATGCATACCAATGTACCACCAGCAGTTATCTTACTGCATCACACAGTTTGTAGAAAAAGATTGCAAGCTTGCTGATACTGTTATACGGGGATTATTAAAATACTGGCCAATTACAAATAGTTCTAAGGAGGTTATGTTCATAGGGGAACTAGAGGAAGTCTTAGAAGCAACTCAACCTGCAGAGTTTCAACGATGCATGGTACCCTTGTTCCGCCAAATAAGTCGTTGCTTGAGCAGTTCACATTTCCAGGTTTGTTAATTACAGTACTTTCCATCTGTTTCCACTTTCTCTTTTGTGTTCTGTGATGATTTGTCAACCTTCAGAATAGATGAAATGAGACCTAACTTTTCTTGTTGGTTGGTGCCTGATTTGTGACATAGGGTGGGAGAATTTTGGTTAAGAAAACCACTTTTCAAATATCCTACTAGGTCATGTTTGGTTGGGATTATTTCTGGAGAAATGATCGTTTTTCTTTTGAAGCTCTCTTGGAAAGTTGACAAAAATAAGTAATTATTTCTTTAAAATATAAGCCAAACATGGGTCTCTCATGACATGCATAAGTTGACAAAAATAAGTCAAACACATTTAACTTTGTATGTTAGCCATGAAACATTTGGGTCTCACAAGACAAATTGTATTGAAAATATTTTAGTGTTGGATTGCAATCGCTAGCACAAGGAGCAGTTACACGTACACCTTCACAGTTTTTTTTTTAAATGTGTTTATAATGCATGCTCTCACTTTTTATTTCATAATATGACCTTTGATTTTCACTTCTATAAACTTTACTTCTGAAAATTGATGGAGGATATTGGTTAATGTGGCTTTCTCGTAGACATTTTTGTTTTTGTTTTTTTGTGATAGATTTTCAGAATGCATGAACAAAGTTTTGGTGAAAGATTTGTGGTTTGCTATTTCTATGACAATTTATTTTCTTTGAGGAAGCCATTGTGAGGTTATTTGCGTAACCTGTTACTGAAGTGAGTGTAATTGTGTTAATTTTTATGAGGCGGTTGTTGGGGACCCCTGTATACTGCAATGCAAACTCAACTCACTAAAACTCAACTCATGAAAATGCATTGGTTTGGGCAGTCGACTTAAATGAATTCATTATATAGACAGACTAGTGGACAGACAAACAATGTCCCTATCACAGTGCTGCCTTTGAGCCGTCATCCTAATGGTTGTACTTTACAATGCTTCACTCAGCCTTTTTTATCAGCTCCTCTGTATTATAGCCTGTTTCGTGACACTGGCAAGGCAACTGACCCTGCTATTGATTGAAAGTACCCAAGCTTTTGGAAAATCTTCCCTTAAAAACTAGGTATGAAAGGGAGAGAATCAAGCCACTTAAATGTACTCCACTGAACATCCATACCACTCAATGTGGGTTTCAAGCACCTTATAATACCCAAGTGTCCGAGTGTGGTAGCTATCACGGGGAGAATCAAGTCATTTAAGTACTTCACCACACATCCCACACTAGTTGTAAGATTTAGACACCCAAATACAACCAAGTTCCCCTATGAGATTGTGCTATTACAGTACATCAGCAATAAGGTTAAAAATGGGCCAAGATATGTGTGCACTGAAAGTTGGTAGCGCCTTTATATATTGTTATAGATATGTTAGCCAGGATTGTTCTAATTGGTGTTTATCATTGATTGTGTTTTGTTTATGAGCCTATAGTTGATAAGTAAATTCATATAAGGAGTAATAGCCATACAAAAAAGTATGAAAAGTTTGGTTGAAGTATACAACAAAATTTATTAGGAGTTTGATTACTATCAAAACCTCGCTCAGTTGACAAACTCACCACTACTGTCATGTATAATTGTAGTTTATGGAGTCAAAATATACAATAGAAACTGTTATTGCAAAAGCTTCAAATTATTTACTCTTCAATACATTTATGGGAATGTATCTATTGGAAAATCACCTTAGTTGCGGTCACCCCTGGCCCTCCTAAGTTGTGGGGGTTGGGTAGCCTTAATTGCAACCTCAAGGGTAATGGTTTAATCCCTAATCTATCAGTGAAATGGATAAAATAGAATATATGAGTGGGGTGCAAACCTCTTCTAACTATCACCTTTTGGGGGTTGCCCAAACTCACATTCTAACCTATTGGAGGAACCTTTTCCTATTATTGCTGCTCGCAGCTGTCACATTGTAATACAATCCTCTGGAAGTTTAATTTCCTCAGCTTTCACTTTCAAAGCATGAAGTTCTTTCATCTGTTCTTTACTTTTCATTATATAACTAGTAGTGCAGGATCTGTGACTCAAGATTCCTCAATAGCAAGGGAAGAGGTGCTACTTATTCTATCTGTAAAACAATGTACAGTATGCACTGTGAATGTGTATATTTGAAAATTATACTAAAGTAAAGCAAATAAAATTACTACCCTTTCTCCCTGTACATGTCTTCAGAGAAGACTGGAAGGAGGTTGTCCCATTGTAGAAATCATGTCTGAGCCATGTCTAGTTATTTTTAACTTATTTTATTATTGAAATTAGAAAAGTAGGTACTACTTGGGACCCTCTTTCTTACCACTACATTTAAAATATTTGAAAGATTTTAAGCAATGGTTGAGACAAAATGGGTGGACTTTGCTTTATTTTTAATATTGCATTTCCCTAATTTTGGGGTAAGTGGATCCCTGAATTTTTTATTTTTGTAACATACTACTCTTTTATTTTAAATAATGCCTCCGTAGCTAGTCTGTGGGTTTTGCTGGATGGGTCAAGTTTACATCTTGGTTTCGAAGCTGCCATATCCTTGGATTTTAAAAAAGTATCATCCACACTAGAAAATATATTTTTACATTTATCTTGTAAAAGTACATTACTAGTCTAGAGTGTTGGAACAAATTCTAAAGCCATTTATGTTTAACTTTTAGTTTGGATACTTGTTAAACCATGAGTTATTTTCAAGAGTAAAGCTATAATTTTTTTCAGTTAAACATTTTATGTACGAGTCTTGAGAGTTGACAACATCATTCGGCAACAAGATATGCATGCTATATTCTTACTTTCGGTTATTCCAATATTCCTTTGGAAAAGTAACATAACCCTCACTTTGGTAACAAAAACCAACCAATCAAAACAGGAATGTTGTTTTCCTGGGAATCAAAATCAACTCACACTAGGAATTTTAAGGCTTGGACCAAACATGAGAGTGTCGTGTTTTCTAATTTACTCTCCTAGGAATAATTTACACACCCGTAGACATAAAATCAGAAGTAATCTTTCTATTAAACACTGTTGTGAATGACTTTCCCAAAAACTATGCAAAAATGTTCCCATTTTGTTCAGAGTTGGCTCGTCATTCTTGGTAGGATATCTTAATAATGGCACGTATTGCGGACATTATGATGCATAATTTTGAATAGTGGATATTTTTATCATAACCATCACATTATTCCCATGCTCTTTAATATGATTTGATTGCTCCTTAATTTGCAGGTAGCAGAGAGGGCTTTGTTCTTATGGAATAATGATCACATTGAGACTTTAATCAAGCAGAACCACAAAGTTATACTTCCAATTGTCTTACCTGCACTGGAGCAAAATGCTCGAAACCACTGGAACCAGGCCGTCCAGAGTTTGACAATAAATGTCCGCAAGATATTCGCCGATGCCGACCCTGAATTCTATGAAGAGTGCATGATGAGAGTTCGGGAATATGATGAGCAAGAGAAGGATATGAAGTCGAAGCGCGAGGCCCGGTGGAAGCGTTTAGAAGAAATGGGAGGCATGAAAGCAACAACCAATGAAGCAGTTCTGGTCTCTCCCAGAACTGCCTCTCATACCCCTTCTGGCAAGGCAAGTAGAACTCAGTTGGAGTGATCCTTGGTTATTGATATTGACATTGCAGAGTTGAAAAGCATAACTAATGCTGCATAAGAATACAAGGGGTGATATTGTGTTACTTTTAGTTGGTTCCATTGGCCACATTGATAAAATTTCAAGGCCAAAAGATGTGGGGTACAAAACAGCTCCAACTTGGTTTTACAAGCATGGAATGAATGTATATATTGGATTGCATGGACAAAAATGGTTGCCTCAAGCCACAGTTTATTTGAGAATTTGTTTTCTAAAGCTGGCCTTTGCTGTTTGATGTTTCCAATGGCTTGAGTTCAACATTTAATCTGCTTTTCATACTTAAACTTTGATGGAAGCATGCTCCATTTTTTGTTGCCAATGTTTAGTGTTAATCATGGTTCTTTTGTGTAGGTGAGATGGTTGTTTAAGGAAATTGGGCCATTAGAGCTTATCTTATGTGAATTGCGGTGGATGCTGTATTTTATATATGACATGATGAAAGCAAATTATTTAGTGAATGTATTATTTCTCATAAAAGTATTCATTCAATCTTTCTCTTCTCTTATTTGTCTTTTAAATTCCAGATTGGCATGAAAAAGTGGTTAACATACTGTTATTTTGTTAACATGTTAGTCAAAGTTATTACATGATGTTTTTAAAATAAATTGCTCCACTAATTCAGATTCTAGGGTTTACTGATTCAATTCATTTCCAGGACTTAAGTCAAGTCAAAAAAATTGAATGAGATTTTACAGGGTTTGTAGGGATTCCAAAATGTTAACCCCTCCCTATTCAACTATCTAATACTGGCCTTGAAAAATTCAAGATTGTTTTTTTTTGGCTGAAAAATTCAATTTTTAACTACCCACAGAAAAAAAATTTGAGATATCTTCATCCTGTTCACAAAGTAATTCATTGAAAGTTTCTTTTTCATCATGCATCGTTATTTCCTACTACACGCAGCCATTGTAATGTTTGATTATTAAATAATAATATTTATTCTCTTGTTTAAATAATATCTATCTTTTGAAAGGTACAATTGATTATAAAATTTTATTGTGCAATCACAAGAAGGAAAGTGGGCATTAGAAGAAGATTCAATGCACCCAAAGGATGCATTTTTTTAATCTAATATTCCCAAAGCACAAGAATACATCATTTTTTCTTTTAATTTCTTAGTACACATGGAAGACTACGTCAAATTGATATTTCAAACATGTTTACTTCTATAACTTTGTCATCGGATTTTATTTCAATTACTACCAATCTTCTTAATTTCTTTACGTCATATTTACTTAAAAGGTTTATGGATGACGTCTATAGCAATAATTAATGATAAATGAGGAATGGTTCACTTTTTGAAAAAAATTTACATTTGATATGTGGTGGAGTTTATATATTTTTTTCACCGCCATTTTTAGTAGTTTTATTATTTTTTTAAAATTTAGACAAGGATTCACCTTCACGTGACAAAAGAAACTTTTGAAAGTAGAAAAAGAGGAGTGAGAAGAAAGAATTTTTTGTTTTAACGTAAAAAATGAAATTTAAAAATCATCACTTTTTGAAAATTGAATTCAGTATCAATTATAAAACATCATAAAAGAAATTCAGTCATTAATAATCGAATTCCATGTATACCATGATAAATAATAAATCAATCTAATTAAGTAAATGAATTAAAAATTATTATTTATATGAATCGATTGAAGTTTTTTTTTCAATGATGCTTTTAAAAATAAGATAAAAATTGATTTTTTTTTGTCAACTATTAAATTTTTTAATTAATTTTAATAAATTATCATTTTTTTTAAACTTACTACTAATTTATGTCATTCTTTTAATGGATCACATTTTAATAATGGAAATAATAATAATAATAATAATAATAATAATAATAATAATAATAATAATAATAATAATAATAATAATGATGGTGTTGATGAATTCGAAGACAACACACATAAAAATAGGAATAATAATAATAATAAAAATTGGTATTTTTGAGGAGGTTAATAAAAAGATATTTTCACAAATACACTAAGTATATAAGAGAATATGACATTAAATTTATAATTTTTTTATTAAACTAAGTATTATTTTCATTGTAATCTCTTTATGCTTTGAGCATACTCTCAAGAAATAATGAAAAAGTGTTACAACCCAAAACCCATAAGATAGATGAATATGAAATAAGGATTTGGGTTTCTTAACTAAAACATTCAAAGAAAGGATAAAGTTTTGTAAACTTGAAATATCACATATGTTTGCATATAGTTACATAGTTTTATTGTTTTCTTTTCATGCTTGTAATACATTAAAAAGATATTTAAAAAGATATTTCTTGTAATACATTAAAAAAAAAAAACTTTGCTCATTTACAAACTAATGTACAAACTTCATGAAAAAGTCTACAAATGTGTCAAACTAATATAAGTCTCTCTCATTTACAATTTCACTTATCTCAACTTCTCTTTCTTACACTATGTATATAAGGAGATACATTAATGTATATAAGAAGAACAAGAGTGTTATTACGTGTACTAAAACTTTGCTCAAATTTCTAGACTTTGTTATAAAAGTTCTCATCTGTAAACCCTTCCTTTATAAAGTCATTCTCTACGATGAGGAAACTAGTTTTTATATATATAAAACTTACAGAAGAATTAAAGAGGTTGCTAAAAGTGATATTATATACTTAGTGGAAATTAGAAGTGATAGATTATAATGTTTTTATGTAATTTTTGTGATTGTAATGAAATATACAATGAAGGTTACAATTAGAATAAAAACAAGTGTTCCTGTATGCTTTCTTATCTATACATGATTATACAATTTATCTTCATGTAAACTTTCAAATATTTGTAAAAATATTTTTAAACACTACAAAAAAAAGCCTATTACCTACGGATAAAAATCCGTAGGTAAATTTTACATTACCTACGGAATTCTATCAGTAGGTAATTATCCATTACCTACGGAAATAATATCCGTAGGTAAATTATATTAAACTAAAAGAATTGTTATTAACAAGAATCGAACCCAATGCCTTAAAGTTGAAAACTCATACTCTAACCACTAAACTATTAGGATATTCTAATAATAATTTACAACTAAATTATACTTATATTTATTCGTGTAAATATATAAATATATAAGTATATAAATATATAAATATATAAATATAAATATAAAATATATAAATATATAAATATATAAATATATAAATATATAAATATATAAATATATAAATATATAAATATATAAATATATAAATATATAAATATATAAATATATAAATATATAAATATATAAATATATAAATATATAAATATATAAATATATAAATCTATAAATATATAAATATAAAATATATAAATATAAAATATATAAATATAAAATATATAAATATATAAATATAAAATATATAAATATATAAATATAAAATATAAAATATATAAATATATAAATATGTTAATATGTAAATATGTAAATATGTAAATACATAAATACATAAATACATAAATACATAAATACATAAATACATAAATACATAAATACATAAATACATAAATACATAAATACATAAATACATAAATACATAAATACATAAATACATAAATATATAAATACATAAATATATAAATACATAAATATATAAATATATAAATACAAAAATATATAAATATATAAATACATAAATATATAAATATAAATATATAAATATATAAATATAAATATATAAATACAAATATATAAATATATCAAAATATAAATATATTTTATATTGATATATTTTATATTTAAATATATTTTATATTTATATATTTTATATATATATATATATATATATATATATATTTTATATTTATATATTTTATATTTATATCTTTACACGGATAAATATAAATATAATTTATTTGTAAATTATTATCAAAATATCCTAATAGCTTAGTGGTTGGAGTATTAGCCTCCAACTCTGAGGTATTGGGTTCGAATCCTGCCAATGACAATTCCCTTAATCTAATAATAATTCAAAGTTTCAAAAATATAATATAAAGGGGAGGGGGGTCCTAGGTTTTAATAAAAAATAAGGGAGGGGGTTGTAATAAATAAAAATATTTTGTTTAGGTGAGTGCATTACCTACGACCAAATTACATACGGATTTTACCCGTAGATAATAAGGTTTTTTTTGGTAGTGAAATCATCAAACATTCATTTAAATAATTGATCATTAAACACTATCTTTATATATCGGGATTGCCAAAAATTGTCAAACTCTATTTAAACCTTTTAATATATTATTTCAATAAAATCATTAAATTATAATTACACATGTATTATCTAATTTGATGTTTCGAAGTTTAATATAAACTTTAGATGATTTTTTACGTAGAAATAGACAATGTATAACCTTTAGATAATTTTGATATAAAAATAGATAATATATAATCTTTAGACCATTTTTCATATAAAAATAGACAACGTATTATTCTTAGACAATTTTTCATGTAGAAAGTGTTAGAATTAATTAATAAATTAATTTAATTATGTAACTTATGTGAAATATATGTTAGGTTAAAGTGTAATTGAATATGATATCCATTCTAATGATCAAACATATATCTATAATCTCATACTGTAAACATGTTATAAACTAAATGCGAAAGCGTACCTGAATTGGCCATAATGACGATATTCTTTGTAGAACACTTTTGATTTGATCTTATGGTCTTCCACCTGAAGAGCACCTGTATTTCCCTCTTTATTTTCTTTCTTGATGGGGATAGAAAGAAAGGAACGGGACTGTAACTACGTTCTGTCTGTGTGCTCTCAGAAGGAGACCATGACCCTTTAAATAACCAAAATTAGGTTAATTACTTAAGTTTTAGTATTTTCAATTTGGCCCCTCATCAAATTAGAAATTACTCTATGGTCTCTACACAATCATATTTTCATGACATATGCCTTTAGCCTAAACTTTAATTTATTCAGATCACTTTATTATTTGGCTTAATAAATAATG